TTTCACAACGTTCACAGGGTCTTTCAAAATGTTTACAATGTTTTGACAAAGTTTACGAAGTTCAAAAACGTTTTACAAAGTTTGCAAAGTGTTACGAAGTTTATAACGTCTTTTTTTAAATAGAGTTTACGAAGGCCTACAACATCTAAAAGTTGTTTACAAAGTTTACAAAACGTTGGTACAAAGTGTACAAAGTTTGCAATGTTTACAAACTTTTTGACAAAGTTCACAAAGTTTTGACAAAGTTTACAAGTGTTTACAAAGTTTTGACAAAGTTTTCGCATTTTACAATTTTTTAAACAAAGTTTTCGCAGTTTTGTACACAGTTTTACAAAGTGTACAAAGTTTTTACAAAGGTTTACGAAGTTTAAACTGTTTCAGTGTTTCAAAATATTACAATTTTAACAACAGTTTACGAAGTTTTGACAAAGTTTGCAAAGCTTTTTTCAATCTTTACACAGTTGTTGCAGAGTTTTGAAAGTTTACAAAGTTTGAGAATTTCACCAAAGTTTCTACAAAGCTTACACAGCTTTTACAAATTTACAAAGTATTTACAAAGTTTACAAAGTTCTTACAATTTTACAACGTTTTGAAAGTTTCAAATAATAAAGTTTACAAAGTTTTGACACAGATTGAAAAAATCTGAAACTTTGTAGAAAGTTTGTAAGCATCAAAAACTTTTGTCAAAGCTTTGCAAAATTATGTAAAATTCCAAAACTTGTTCAAAGCTTGATAAATGTCCAAAGCTTTGTTCAGATATCTAAAGGTTCAATACTTTGTAAAAACTTCGTAGTTCCAAAGTTTTGTAAAATTCAATGTACTGTAAGTTTACAAAACTTTGTGAAGTTTGTTATTAACTTTGTAGACTTTGTTAAAACTTTGTAATGCAAAAACTCGGTAAACAAAGTTGTAATTCCAAAACTTTGTCAGTTTTTTGTAAAGATCCAAAACTTTGTAAACACTTTGTAGGAAGTTTGTTTGAAGACCTGCGAAAGCTGTTCAAGAAGAGCTGATCTTTGGATCAGTGGGACTGCTTGCATTTTTTTGTTTAAAAAACGGCATTTGGTGCTTGCGCTTTGGGAATTTGTGACTGATGGCTGTAGTGTTTCAGGGTATTGAGGGTGAGAAGAAGGGTCGAATGGTTATTGGTTGTGCAAGTGTTTTAAGACTTGGCCACGGAAACACCAAAACACTTCTTTCATATTTTCCAAATAACATTGGTGCAAAACACTTCTTGCGAGCAAAAACACTAAACTCAAGCAACTTAACAAGCTTCGTCTGTGGAACAGCACATCCGAAGAGGTTGCAATAGCCATCACCCCAGCAAACCAGGCACTCGTCTCCTACCCCGCGAGCGCGCGCGCGATATCTCGCTGCCGACCCGACAACAAGGATTCAATAGGCGCGGCGCGGTTGCCGTGGGTATGGGAAGAAACCAGGAGCCTGGTGGTTCTACTGCTACTCCGGGACCCAAAATGAAGAAACGACCAGCCCCTACAGGTCTTACGGACCTCATTTGACTGGGTCCGGTGATGCAAAACCAGTACTCAATGAGGTTTTCAGGACCAGGTTGGTCCTTGGTCCGACTGGACTTGTAGGGAGCCGTCACCAGACGGGGTGCCGAACTTGGATCCGGAGATAGAGGTGCCCCAACCATCACCTCCGCCCCGATGGGACGAAGCAAAGGGATCCCGAGCGAGCGACGTGTGACTCCTGGTACAGTCACTGAACTCATCATGCCCCAAACGACCCATGGGACTGGCATAGGACAGACTGCAAAGAAACGGCCAGGGGTGGTTGAAGAGGGGTCAATGTAGGCGGCATAGGACTGCCAGTCCCAGTAGTCGTGTATGGGTGGTCACGCCACCACCCCTTTGGTCCGTCGGTCTACGGAAAACTGGTCCTCCGAGTCTGCGAGGGCATTTTGCGCCATCCACGATCTAAGAAGGATGATTGATTTCAGGGACTGTACAGCGCCGTACAGTTTCATAGATCCAAGGGTTGCAAGGTGGAGTAGCTATAATGGCTATTATTGGTGTCCATGATCAACATCATTGGAATCATACAGGTCATCAATGGATCACTTCGAGGCTCCCATCAAATGCAGCGTAAGTTATTGGTGATTGGTGACACCAGATCCACAGGAGGACGGGGGTCTCCAGCCTTCGGGGAGTGTCCAGACCAAATCTTTCTGCAGAAGGGCAGAACCTGGAAACTCGTACTCCCAAGTACAACTGATAACTTAGTAGATTCTCCATCTAACCAACAACAGGATATATCATCATGTGGTGCAAGATGTCCATCAACGAGAGTGGATCATGGCCATGGCGGATTCCTATCATCTCATCTTTCATGCAAAGTCCACCAGCTCCCCTTTGAACGGCAGGGAGATTCCGCAGGTCGTGATAAAGAACCCCCCCCAGCTGAAGAGTTTTTTCAATCCAAATGGGAGGAGTTATGAATCAAGAGTATACATTAAGTATACCCTCGGACTTGACTCCATTTCAGAGCAAACTCCATGGTGCTCTGACCCACATAAACCGAGCTGCCCGACCCGAACACCCTCGACCCAGCTGCCCGACGCATCCTCTGGTGGCGCCGCTGGGGTTGCAGCAGTAGGTCTCGCAATGAAAGTCTCCAAAATTCCATTGATATTCACAGGTGAGACCATGAGTTGTCCTGATGGCGACAAAAAACATTGTGTTTTTCATGGGTCCCAAACCATATATGGCTGTGGGTCATGGCACCCCGGACACCCACTTGCGGGTCATGGCTGAAGCACGTCAACCCAGCAGGATCCCAAAGGCTCATGACTCATGACCCACAGCCACATTGGACTCCAAAAATCAAATTGGTCTGGTCCAGGAGTTGGGTGGCTCTTAGTCCCATCCAGTGAGTGGATAAGTTAAGGCACCCCGACCACCTCCAAGTTCGGAACCCCTTTGTGACTGCTGGGTGTGGAATTGGGTCTGATGAGCTCAAGTTCGTGTTGAATGGGTGAAGTTCAGGAAAACCTGATGCGGGAGAAACTGAGGGAAGCTGAAACGTGAGAAACCTTTTGGGATGAAAATTCGTCCCTGTTTTGGTACAATTTTCATTGGAACCCATGGAAAAAGCCTGGTGTGTTTCTGTCTGCCGAAAATGGCATGTGCCAAAACTCACTGAATGGTGAGTCGCAAAATGTCTCAGGACTCCGGCCTGCCTGCTGCCTGCTTTCCCTCCAATTTTCTGCGGCTGAACGAACAAATCTGACCTCAAATAGAGCTCACCTTGCACCTACACTCGCACGCTCCACGCCACTCCAAGCGTCTTCCGTGGGGTGGACTCCTCACATCCCAACTGCGACCACGACGAAAGCAGAAAGGACACCGCAGCCAGCAGCGCCAGGATTAGGGACCAGATCCTCAACCCCGTGGCGCCCTTTGGCTTTAGACCCATCGGATGGGAGGTGTGGCTTTCCGTCATCGGATGTGCTGGAGTCGGATGTGCAGCGACGACGAGAAGTGGGTTGAAGGTGAGTTGAACGGAACAAGTGGAGTTCCGAAAGAAGCAAAGAAGAGACACATAAAAGAAACATCATAAGCTATATTGATACTAGCATTTATGAGCATACATGTACAATGATACTTAAAATAAGATTACTATAAGCTAGCCTTCCACCTGCTTAGAAGGCAACTGGATTGCCAATTTGAGGGAACAGGCAACATTGCCCTCTCCAAACCCTACAGATTTTGACTGAGGGAAGAGTCGTTTAACACCCCGGCGAGTTGACTCTTTCTACAGCTATAGAATAGAAAAAGTCTTCTTCCCTCGTACCCTGGGATGGATCTAAACTCAAGCCCAAATCCCTCAGCTGCCGCAGAAACACGCCCAGCGTCAAATAGTGTTTCTTCTTGGAACGGAACTGGTTCACCAAACCGCGCTCGCCCTGGATCAGGTTCTCCACGCGCGGCGACGCCGATGCCGCCGCCAGCTCCATGACGGGCGACGCGTCGGGGGTCAGATCCACCACAGTGCGCACCACCGGGTGGTTGGGAAAGCGTCATGGTCAGCATGAGGCCCTTGTGGGGCGTTCTATCAAGCACCCAAAGTGGGTGGTGTTCAAATATATATATATATATATATCGGTTTTTGTTGTTGGTGATTGCATGCTTCCACTGCCACTTCCACCATTAGACTTATTAGACTCACTGAATTCTGAATTGTAACACTTGTGTGGGTCACACAGCATCAATGCACCAAGTTACACAATTCACAGCATCATTCTCCAAAGAGACCAAGTCCTCAACTCTTCAAATTCAGGACCATGTTGTTCATGTCTTGGTTCCTCAACTTAGAAAGATAATGTATATCCAGGAGGGTGCATGCTCTCAGACTACGCCTTCGGCTATCGAGAAAGGAAAGCATTTCAACTTGCCGTGTCATGTCAGCCAACAACTGTGCTTCTTCTCGCTGACTTCACATCCGTATCCTTCAGGTCTTTGAGCACAGCAGCCAGGTCTTAACGCTGCGATCCGATCATCCACGGGCCAAAAGCGAGTCACTTCTTCTTCAAGCAAGGCAGTTCTTCCGGGTTGTGAATCTGGGGGACTCACGGCCGCCTGACCCTGCCGGAGATTTGGAGAATAGCAGGTTGAAGCAAACTATTATCCACGTTTTCTGGGTTTTTTTTTCGGGTGAAACTGGGAATCAGAGACAGCGAAGCCCCAAGCAAGTAGATCTGGATCGATGCTGAGAGTCCGAACCGTAGATCCAACCAGTGTAGAATGTTGATAAATATAACAAAACCCACCCAAAGATAAATGGTTAAAACCTCCAGTAAGGTTATATACATCAAAAGTCTATATTGATAACTCTTCATTTTGCAAACCATGCATGCCCCAAAAACACACAAAAAAAAACAACAGCAAACCAACAAAGCTTCAGAACCTCACCCAAACCCCCAAAGAATCGTCCCACAAACCCTCGTCCTCCGAGCCAAAACCCCTCGTCCTCCCCGCCTGGCGCCGGAGCTCTTCGACGCGCTTCTGCAGCTCGGCCTCGGTGGCATCGTCGCAGTCCTGGCGCCGGGCCAACGGGGCGCGGTAGCCTCGGTCGTTGTGTCGGTGTTGCGGGGCACAGCAGCGACTCGGCACGGTCGATGTTTTCCGATTTGATAGGGTCGATGTGTGATGTGCTGGATTGCCTGGATTACGTGGTGTATTTGCCTGGATTCGTGTGTGAACTGTACGTATGACTCATATGACCATTTAATTATAGTGTGTTGATAACGTTTGTTGTTACTGGATTTGTGTTTCTGTTGTGTGTGTGTGTGTTATGTTGATTGACATTCTCTTTGGCATTGGTAGGAGTCACTTGGAAGTACCTCCTTCCGCGCTGTGCAGTTGCTTGGGTGGTCGTCATGTGTGCAGGGGGGAACTCCCTGGTGGCAGGGGGAGGTTCAGCCAGGGAAAAGCCAACAAACACATAGAATCAAATCAAGGGGAGGTATGAAACAATGACGTGTTGCTTATAGTATTATATAGAAACAAAGGGTGTGTGTGTGTGTGAACCTGCATTCTGAACCATCCGGTTTCTCTTCCACATGTTTCTTTCTTTTGGGCACCAACGCCGATTTCTGCGATGTGTCGGGTCCATACACTTGGTGGGTATAAAGGCAAAAGTTAAAGAACATCACACACAACAAAAAGCATCCAATGATCATCCCATGCCTTGCATCTCAACCAACTGGGGTTCTCACCGAATCAACACATCAATCAAACCAAACTCGGAATCTCCTGGATCAACCCTTGGATCACTATATCCATCACCCCTCAACCCCCCCCCCATCAGTCGTCCGTTGAGGAGGAGGACTGACTCATATCATGGTCGACCCTCCAGCCGCTCCCGTCCCCGGCAGCTCCTCTTCCGGCACATCCAACTCTTGAGAGGTCTCCGAATGCCTCACGCATCGACACTCGGCACCGACCCAAACCCGCCGAAGCACGCCCACGCAACACGCCACTACGTGTGGCCACCGCCGACGACTTCGTAGGAAGGTGAAGAAGTTACGACCCGGGGACCCACATGGAACCTGCCATGGATCCCAAGACAATTTTGCTCTACAACTCAATTGTTTTGGGGGTCCATGTTAATCTTCCAGAGTCCAAGTCATTTGCTTGGTCGTGCCTCACATATCGGACATAAGAAAAAACACCACGGATTTCTTTGTCATGTTTGGCAAAACCGAGGTGAAACCGCAAAACCGATAAAACCACTCATTTGTAACATAGGTGCACAACCTCCACAAACTAAGTGTTCTATGTTTGGCAAAGTGATGTGCAGCTTAGGTGTTTTTTCTACCTCGAAGATGGTGTTTGACCACACCCGTTGGCACCTGTCGACTGCAGCTGTGTGCACTGCACGAGCGCCGTGTCTCGCTCTCTCCACACGCCGCCGAGTCGCAAGGGTTGCTGAGTTGACAAGGAACTCTGAGAGACCTGCGCCGCGTCCGCTTGACGCCCGCGCGGGGTGCGGCATCGTGTGGTTGCTGGAAGAGCCTATTGGGTGGCACCCAGCGGACCATCATCTCCAGCATGTGATTTCCAAGTCAAATCTCGAAGCAAACAAGTTGCACACTTTGGAAGTAAATGACTCAATCAAAGACTTATCTCAAACAAAAGTCCTGCATTTTGACCAATGATTGCTGATCTTCAAGGATTTTCAGTGCTCAAGAACTCCGCACGAGACATATTCAACTCCGAAGTTTACAGAAGTTTCAGAGGTTCGATGGCCCTGACACCCCAAGAGGTCTATCCGACAGATGGGAGTCCATCATTGCACCACCTACTACTTGGGTAACTTGTGCCATCTACTCTGAAACCACTATACACAGTTTTCCACGGTGATCCCCCTGGCCACGACTCGTTTCTTTTTGTCGGCACATGAAAGCAACATCGCACGGCTGGACGGCTGGTTTTGTTTGTTGCAGAGCATGCGGCACATGCCAAATCTGAGCATGGCAGGTTCGTGTCGGTCTTCAGGAAGGTCTGGACTAATTCGCGGCAAGAAACACTCCATGAACGCTAGCATTCGCCCTCTTCTCTGGAATCCCAACCAGCCCCGGAATCAACGCGCGGAACTGCGCCCTTCGCCCTCTTCGCCCGACTCACACCGAACCGACCTTGGTCTACCCGCCGTACTTTCGGTCCTCAAAGAAGTTTCAATTTAAATGTCTTGGTCCACCGAACCTGTCTCCCAAGGAACCGTTTACAAAAGAATTAATCTCTGCGAGCCATGAGCCAATCAGCGCAATCAGCCTCCTGTTCTGATCTGAAGCATCTAGTATGGGTCTATGAGTCTATGATGGTCTATGGCGCAGGGCTGAGCTGCCCCTACTGAACTACACTAAACTCCTAGGCTAGGCAGCTAGAATCTTAGAACTCCTAGGTATAAACCCAAGGTCAACCCATGCATTAGAAACAATAAGCTACTAGGAACAAGTGCATCGCTTCTAGTAACAAGTGCCTTACTAGTAGTAACAATGTTTGCTATTAGAAACAAGATCATAAAGGCACTTGTTACTAGACCCCATGAGCTGTTTCTACTAGACCAATAACCAACAGTACTACCAACAGTAAGCTCATGGGCTTATAGATGTATGTGGATCATTTGAGACCCCATGAACCCACCGACGCTTTTCGGGCCCACCACCTCTGCGGTGCAGTTCTTGGCTCCACTTGGCGGCTCGACCGCGTCGTGCACCTCCGGCGAAGGGCGGCGAGTCGAGCCGAGGGGGAGTTCGGGCCGAACACGGCGAGAATAAACAGGAGAGTCGAACAAGATCTGAGACTGAATATCGACCGACTAGCTTCTGGATCTTCTAGTTTTACACTTGCCCCAATGCAACGAAACCGACCTCGCCTGAAACGGCCTAGCAGCTTCCATCGGCACCTGGCGCGGGTGTGACCCCGGATGCCGCCAAGTCGACCCGTACGTCTTTTGGAAAATGAAGACAAGTATTCCAGCAGTCACGTTCGACGGGGAGCTTAATGGAGGTTAGGGGTGCGCAATATCCACTCACTTTAGGGACTAAAAACATCTAAAAACCACCCCTTTGCGACTCCTGGAATATCATTCTTTTTGTTCGGGTCATCGTCCCATTTTCTAGGGTACGAACTGGAGGCTCCAGGCAGAAGTGTTGGATCTATATTCGCAAAAAAACAACACTCCATGTATTCTATGAGACACATATGAATGCTCAATATGCTTAGATGTCACTCCTGTAACGACACCAATGTAGGTCAACATTCCGTCGAAGTGTCTAGTGTCTGAGTCATAGAAAGTACTACGATTTACTGTAGAAATCGTGGAGGCCTAGCATGCACCAAAAGAATCTTTAAAATCGAAAGACTGGACAATCAAAGCAAAGTCACGGACAATAGAATATACACACAGCGCACATATTTAGGACCAATCAACGAATCAGCCTATAAAACAGACCTACACCAAAGATCAAAGACATTTTTTTTATATACCAAGCGCTTTCCTTCAATGCTATATAGATTCATCTAAATTGTATACCGTATAATAATCTATTCCCGAATCATCCCGAATCTTCAAACGGCTTACATTTGTGCCGGTGCATTTTTTCATAAGACACCGTAACCCTCAAACAATGCCGTTTCTAGGACATGGAAAGAGGATGCTTGGACGCCTGAAGGACACCAAACCGTCTAAAAACGCCGTTTCTTCGTGGTTTCTCACCTGGCCACTTAACATATACAAATCAATATGCCTGTTTCCGCTTTGTCACACCAACAAAAACATAACGGCATGTTTTGTGTGAAAGGGACATTATTCGTGTCGTTTCGATCATCCAGGTATGGCAGCAAGTCCAGTTCACTGGACTTACAAAATAGGAAATGGCATGAGAGCCAAGCTCTTCTCGAAAAAAACACCAAAAACAACTTCTCACACAGCTCTGTTCGAAAAGCAAAACGCCCGAACACAGCTCAGGACCGCCCCCCACCTGGGACGTCGCGACCGACGCCGCGGAGCCGGACGCCACGCTGGAATGGACGCTCGGCGCCGACGTGGGCCGGCCCTGCGCGGTCACCGGTGTTCATCCGTGTGAGTTGAATCCGTTGGTGTGTTGAGTTAAACCATATGAAGACTTGGACATTGTTTGATGATGACTTGGACAAGTCTTTGACCTCAGCATTAAAAACACATTGTATAATTAAAAGTAATACTATGTTTTTAAACATATATAGTCACAGGAAGTTGGGGTCCAGTCATGAATGCATCGGTGTTGCTTTGTGTTGGACTATGGCGTGATGAAGCTTGGTGATGGACATGTTTTGTGGAACAGGAATCGTTTGTCGCTTTGCACACTTGCTTTACTAGGAAAACTCACAGTCCACCGGTAGCTGCATCTACTGTGATGGCTGTGGATCAATGTTGTCAAAACCCTATTAATTAAAACCTGTGGTTTCCCTGAGTGTTCCTTTACAATAAGTACGGTTGGATCAACACTGGAAGATCCTCAATTGAAGGTGGTATCCACCCAGCAAAGATGGTTTGGTACAAACACACCCCACTTGTCGCCACCTGTTTATTCTCCACTCCTCGCACTCCAAACACTTTTTCCACCCACCGGGGTGGCGAAAAAGGGAAACAACCTGAGCACCCAAGGACAAGCCCGAAAGCACCTGATCCTCTGCTCCAGTCTCCGGTGAGACTGCTATCTGCCCTTGGCCGCGCTGGTCGCCCGCGCGCACAGCCCCGGCCGATGCGGGGCGGCCGAAGGTCATGGTGAGCGGCAAGGCCACGGCTGGCACCGGCGGCGCCTGCAGGGTCAGAGACGAGCGTCGTGTGCTTGGAGATGGATGGATGGATTTCTGTGGATGGATGGATGGTTGGGTCATTGGGTCCCTGTGATGTTTCAGGGCTGGCTGGGCAAGGCTGGGCATGTGGGCTCCTGGGAGAAGGGAGTGCGTGATCAGCTAGCTACCAAACTGGTATGTCATACCGACTGAGACACAAGCAAGTGGCATAGCGGTATACTTACATTGCACTAACATGACCAAGTCAAGCCGGGAAGATTGACACAATTGGAACTTGAAGCAATTGAATGCACCTTAATTCTTGTTGCAACACTGCAACAACCAAGATCAGCCTAGCAATGCCTTGCAACTGTGCCGCTCACCAGTGCCGCACTGTTGTCCACCCTTTGTTTGGCAACTTTCTGGGCAGGGCGATGTTCCAATCAATCGCCGTAATGAATGATGAGGTGCTCCTCATCCAGTCCTCGTGTTCGGAAACTTTGTTTCATGGACCTTCCCCTGCACTTTTAGAGTGTAGCTGAGAGACAACTCCAAATGCCTCAGATTCTGCAGCTTCGCAACACAATTTCCAATACTTTCTCCACCCGTATCTCCAAGAATGTTGTTTTCAAGATCCAAATGCAAATGGCTGAGGTTCTGCAGCTTCGCAACACCATCTGCCATAGATTTCCCTCCTGCCTCTCCAAGATTGTGTTCAATCAGAGCCAGCTCCAAATGGCTTAGGTTTAGCAGCTTCCCAACACCATCTCCTATGGCTTTCCCTCCTACATCTCCAAGATTGTTTCTCCAAATGTGCAATACCAAATGGTTCAGATTCTGCAGCTTGCCAACACCATCTCCTACGCCTTTGCCGCCTTCCTCTCCAAGATTGTTTCTTAATGAGATGCAGCCCCAAGTGGCTGAGGTTTGTCAGCTTGGCAAGGTTTCCTGTCATCGCCTTGCCTCGAGCACCAAGATCTCGGGCAGCCCTCGAGCTGCCGAAGCACTGGCCCGTATTCAGGCGAAGTGGTTGGTGAGACCAACATCTGTTGGGCCTGGTTCCCTTCACACGCCAAGACTGCATCGCCTGTTGGCAGCCTCCCAAACGCGCCATATGCCAATCGCAACTTGAAAGTTCCCCTCTGCTTTCGCACTTCTTGCGCACGATTCAATCATGTCTCCATGAGTTCAACGTCAAAGTCTGGATTTTGCAATATCAGATCATTGTGACCCAAGGAAAACATCCAGCTCAAGTCTGCTACAGATGCGCCTGAAATCTGCAATGGAGACGCAAGAGGGTGGACTTCCTTCCCGCAACACATTGTTCGAACTTCGAAACCGGTTTCACAAACTTCTTGATCACACTCATTCACCTTTGGGCACGTCGAAATGAGCTGAGAACATGCCGGGTTCTCTCGAAGCTGGGATAACGGAATTGAAACATCTTCCAGCACAAGTTTAGCACCTTGGAACTTCTCTTTCACTTTGGACATATCTTTTAAGGATACTTCACTTAAACTCTGATTCTTCACGCAAAGATTATTCAGGCCTTCTCGGTTCATCAAGGCTTTTAAGATCTGTTGCAAAGCATTGTCTGTCAAATTGTCAAGACTGACCTCTTCCGCCAGTGTGGAATTCGCCACATGGCAAGCATGCTCGGCAGAGCTGCAACTCTTGATTTCTAGGGTTTTAGAAAAGTAATGACATTCACCTCCGAAGCCATACACATGAAGCCTGAAATTGCGATTCTTGCTACAAAGAAGTTCTACTTGGGGCCAAAGCATCTGCAAGCCTTCCTCACCAAGGTTCTCTTTCCGTCAAGGTGCATTCCAGGAGATCACTGGCCTCCTCAAGGACTGCACCAATCTGTTTGATGTGCTCTTCTGTCAGCGCTCCTGCAGAAGTGTCTGTCCAAAGCAAATCAGAAAAGTAGGACGTGAAACCAAACTTGTTGAGCCTGACGTTCTTTATGGCATACCGCTTACACCAACCCTTCCCTACGCATTCGGGAAAAAAAACATGTATGTCATATGTATGTCATATGCTGATTGCATCTTGCGTTTGCCTTTTGCACGCTTCTGTTTATGCATGTTTGTCTTTGTTTTGTTCATTGTTTGCATGCATTCATTGTTCAAAAGAAACATAGAAAAACCATGAAAAAAAAACATTGTTTGCCTTTCTGTTCCAGCTTGTTTGCTTTGTCTTTTTCTTATGTTTGTTTCTTTATTTATTATTAAGTGACTCTTAGACTTTGGCTGTAAGTTCTGAACCACAACATATATATTATGACTCCCCTTACATGGAGGCACCTTCGTTGCTGAAGTCCACGGTCTGCTTACTCTTGAGCATGTGCAACAGCGGAGCTCGCCACTCCAAATCCACCAGCAAAGAGTCCAGCAAGCATGCAAAGAATCCCATGTCTTGCGTCTTTGCCAAATCATGAATATCTTTCACAGTGAGCGCAAAACAAAAGAGTGAGGATCCAATCGACACAGCCAAAGTCCTCACTTTGGAAGCTTCTAACTCCATTCTACCTGTGGTGAGCTTGACATAGAACATCCTGCTTTGCAAAAGGGCCTGGCCAGGAGACTCCAGAAGAGTCTCTGTTACCACCCGCAGTCTCATGATGTTTGCTACCCACCCCTGTTGAGGGGATGACTTAGCAAGCCAAGCAAAGTCCACAGTGGCATCACAATCCAAGCTGCCGTCTGCCCACCAAATCTTGGCTCTACCATGTGGTTTAATTCGTTTCATTGCTCATCTAGCTAAGAAGAACATAACAGCATTCATTCGGCATTCCGAGCAACCCATCATCCGAACATAGCGGCCAACCCGCTTTCCCGAAAGTAATCAGTAAGTCCAGTGCAGTGTCTTGCAACGGAAGCCAACGCTCCAGAAGGAAAATGCCCAGCGGCGAACCTTTGAAGCGCTGCCAGGCTGACTTGCCGTGTTGAAACGCCAATTCCCCTCGCTCATACCAACCGAGCTCCTCTGCGGGTGCCTCTGTGGCTTCTGCAGTTCCTTCGGGCTCTGCCTCGTCGTCACTTGAAGCATCATGCAAAGGTGCTAATTCGATGTCTCGCTCGACAGCCAAAGCCTTCGCACATTTACATCCCATGGCTCAGCACACATGGCTCGAATTGTGAAAAAAGGGTGTGATGATCGACTCAGGAGTGCATGCATGCCTTCAATATCCTTCAATATCCTTCCGACAGTTCTGGAACAAAGAAAGGCAAAAATATAGATACTCCATGTGTGACAGTTGTGGCACAAAATTCCTTCTAAACTCATGTTCTGCCACAAATGTGGCACACCAAAAGGCGTTGTCATTAGCTACTCCACACATGGACCACGCAGTTTGAACTGATCGTCGATTCCCCAAAGACTGCATGGGGACGAAAGTGGGGCATGGATCTCAGCAAGCATTCCTTCATCGAGCCAAAGCATGAAGTCCTTCCTACAAAACAAAACAACAATGCACCTGCGAAAGAAACACCCGGCCTTAACCCCTACCATGAGAACCTCTAGTGTTCCCACACTGTTTGGAGAAACATCTCACACCACCAGTCGCAAGACGGGGTGGTTTTTAGTCCTTAAGTGAGTGGATCACCACGACAAATTCCCCAAACAGTGTGGGCACACTGAGGGGTTCTTACGGTAAGTGAAAAGCAGGTGTGCTTACAGACCTTACACACATTGTTTGGGGTCTCTTGCCGGGATAATTTGGTTCTAAAAGTACAACAATCACGCCTTCGCTCCGCAGTCCAAACAGTTCAACGCCCACCGTGGCGCATCACGCCTGCTGCGCGCCCAAGCGTAGCTGAGCTGCGGAGCTGGGGCGCGAGAGGCGAGAGCCTACGGTGCTCAGGTTCACCTGGCAAGGGTCGGTGAAGATGGGATGGATACTAGCGATATCTAGGTGCACCGGTCGGCCTACATGGATGGCTCAACCACCCCCTGGTTGAGCCATCCACCACTATGTAAAATAGGCCTGTTTTACATAGGGGTAGATGGCGCAACCCAATTTTTGACCATCATGCATTTGCCCCCCGGAGTATATTATACAAATACATTTATTTGAATGTATATAATTGCAACAACTCAAAAAGATATTGGAAAGAAATTGAATAATATATAGATACATACTTGCCAGGTAGAGTTGCACGTGGATTTGAGCTTGCTAGCTGGGCTTTAGTTTGGCCTTGGGATACCACCAATGGCACTACTGCCATGGAAAGGAGGCCACGCAACGGTAGGTTGCAGCTGTTCAAGCAAGTGAGTCAAACATTGTCAAACAAATCATATATTTGCGACCAAGTTTCACTTGATCGTTGGAAGCATTGGGAAAGGTTCTTTGAGGTCTTCGACCAATATTAGAACTCTGAGTCGTACACCGGTAGACTTCGTTGCAATTGGACCCAAATCAAAACTTCTCCCTGATTCTGGATTTGCTTACCCTAGGGCTCCAAGTACCTCCTCAGAAGGTATCTGGACCCTCTAAACCCACCCTAAACACCTTCTCAGAAGGTACGACTGGAGCTAGGGTTAAGGAAGCTGGGACCAAAACATATTCGCCAGAAAGGGATTCGCCCATATGGTACATAAACAATCACACCTGATGCGCAAAACCAGGGATTTGATCACCAACACTTGCCCAAGTCGCTGCATCCACCTTTCCCGCGGGTTGCCCTCGAACCTCCCCAAACTCCGACAGAGATGGCTCCTGAGGTCACTGGAACGGGGGTGGTGATTGACATCCAAGTGGTTCTCATGTGGTGTTCCGCCAAGTCTCTATAGACGTATTTAGATGTGGTTGGGAGTTGGAAAATGCTTGAGGATGGCTTTGGAGGGTTTGAGACGGATGAATGCCATGAAGAGTTTCCTCCCCATGCCATGCTTTGAGCGTAGCCGTCTTTCTGCTGGTCCCATGTTTCTGTTTGGAGAACTGGTCCAGCAAAATCTACCCAATCAAGAATCCAAATGTATCCAAATTGCAGGGGTGTGTGTGTGTGTTTTTGTTTCTGACCCCATCGTTCCGACCAATCGATCAAGGAACCAAATATGCCCGAACAGCTAAGCAGCAACTTGTAATTGCTCTCTTCAAATAAGTACAGAAACATCCCTGAACAAAACGATTCGGGAGTAGGCTCACAGTATAGGGTTAAGCAACAGCAAATTGCAATTGGTCTCTTGAAACGGTGCTCCCTAAGTTCAACCCCCAGGTCTGAAACTCGAGTTTCCTTCAATATATTTTATATGGAACAAAATGTACAAAACGCATCAAAACACTATGTTCATACCTTGCATGTCCTGCCCAACTTCTATCACTCTTGAAACATCACAAATCACAACCATTCCCAAATTCCTAAATCCACCTAAAAACCCTAAAAACTTCTAAGAAGAACCACCAACAGAACCAACCTTCTCCCAAACACTCAATGTTTCTGCCCCATTTCATGGCACCCAGCCATCTTCGAGTTCTCCCACCCACTCGCCTCACCTGGCGCGTTGTTTCGCCCCTCCCACGGCGCCTCCCGCGGTGCCGCAGAGGTGGGGCGGCTGCTGCGCTGGCGCAAGAGCTGCAGCGGAGTCAGCGGCACCTGCGGGTCCACCCGCGGGTCCACCCGCGGGTCCCGCGCGGCGGATGGTGGATGATTGGCGGATTTTGGAACCTCCAAACTAACCACGAGCAGCTGCAGGCTGCGGCAGGACGGACTCTGAACATGGAAAAACTGGGCGCAGCACTTGGGGGCCTTAGCCCACTTTTTGCGGGTAACTCACCTCTGGGACTGGAACATCGTTATAGATCGGTTCTGGGATCGGACGTTCACGTCAAACCGGTCTGGCATAGACGGGCCCCGGTATACCGTTCACGTCACTCGCCTGAGTACACTCCATTTGGATCATGAGTATACTCTGACGAGCACATCACATGGAAAGTGGAAAACCTCCCGTTTTTTTTCAAGGAAAGTTGTCTTCCAAGGGACCATGCCATCCACTTCCATGTGGGTTCGTCAGAGTGTGTGCACAAAAAGCGGCATGAAGTTGGTGAGGTGATTCGCCGTCACTGATGAACGAAGACAAACATATAAACATGGCAGCCTGCCAATAAGGCCGAATAGTATACCATAGTATACCGATAGGATATACCTGAATCTTCCTAGGGCTGCACTTTTTGCGCCTCCAACCTAGAAGGCGCCTCTAGGAACTGAGAGGCAATGTTTTTTTGCAAGAGGCGATTCTTGTTTTACATAGATTTCTCCCCAGTTATGTTGATAGAACATATGATAACCGTGATAACAATGAAACTTATACACTTAACATATAGGAAAAAACACCACAAACCCCGAACCATGAACCAAAACATAAGTTATATGCATTCAAAAGGTTCAAGCATGATAAAAACGTGAAACACATGAAGGCATGATAACTCACTGTGGAAAAGTGAGCGCACACAACATTATATATGAACTGCTAATTTTCCACTTGGATTGGCCTGCGAAAAATGACCCCCACAAGTCCGGCTTTCCCCTTCAAAACCTGCATTTCAGGCAGGTCGAACCGGACTTGTGGGGGTCTTTTTTGCATGGAAAATTGCAAATATGAACATGATATCGCGCAATTTGATAAACACACATGAAAACATGAAGCACATGAAAGCCACAAAAAAAACCTGAAACATATGAAAAACATGAAACATATGAAAGCTACATTAAAAACATGAAAGCACAGGAGAGCAACATGAAAAAAATAACACATGAAACATATGAAAAAAAACACAACATACACGAAAAACATGAAAGCACATGAAAAACATGAAACATATGCAAAAACATGAAACACGTGAAACAATGAGAGGCGGAACTTCCCGGGTAAGAGGCGGAACTTCCCAGGTAAGAGGCAGAATTCCCAGGTTATGAATTTTTGGCATAGTCTTTAATTAAGTCGACTGGTTGCCGCTTTCAGGCTCGTCTCTAATCGAAAGGGGAAATGGCGTATCAGCTTCCATCCCGTGTCTTTTCGAGTTCGACCCTGATGGCTGGTTTGACGTTAGTGAAAGAAGAGAAATATGTGGACAAACTTGATGGTGACGATGCAACCCTGATGTCAGAGCTGCAACAACCGCAGGTGGGGCTGTTCGTTTCTATATATAGGTATTGATACTCACCTCTAGTCAGTGTTTTGGTCTGAACATTTCCTGGCTAAACATTTTAGCTTTGTTTTCTGCCGGTTGCAGGCGCTCAGGTTGCAAATCCAGCAACTGCCTACTCCTATGAACTCTGCCTTGAAAGACCTCCAAACGCCAAACACCTTGGAGAGTTACGTCTTGCCTGATGATGAAACTCAAACGGCTGGTTTGGGTTTGGACGCAGTTGCTAGCAAGCATGATGAAACTCTGTTTGCTTGGGCTTGACCGATAATCTTTTGTCATGTTGATAGCTGTCGGCAGCAGCAGCGGAAGACCACCAAAATCATTACAAATTACAAGATTCCCTTCTACCAGAAAAGCACGAGAGGCAGTTTTTGTTCTAAGCGGCAACTCTTGAATGGAGAGGCTAACATTTGAGCCTCTCTGCTAAGAGGCTGAGAAAAGCAACCGCCGGAGGTTTAAGGTATATATAGGGAATCACACGAACATGGCATCCCGCCTCTGGCACAAAATGATGGACATGGGTGACCACTACGACCTTACCGGAGACCTATGTTTTGAGTGTCCCTATATATTATCACTTGCGCTAGCTTCTTTATTTCAGGCTTCTGTGAGGAAGCCAGAGCTATTTCTAAAATCTTTCAGGACTATTTATAAATCCTGGCAGGACTATTTATAAATCCTGGCTATGCCTGGCTACTTCTAAAATCTGTTAGGACTTATATCCTGGTCCTGGCAGGACTATTTATAAAGCTTGGCAGGACTATTTATAAAGCCTGGCTACTTCTACAATCTGTCAGGACTCTATTATAAATCTTGGCAGGATGATTTATCAATGTGCAAGCTCACATACATAAACGTAAATGGATTGATTTACCTCACTACAGGCAACATTTACAAATCCTGGCCACTGGCAGTATGCAATACATGCTGCATTTGCATATGTGAGTGTTTTTGTTTTTCATGTCATTCAGCAGTCACAAACAAGTCAGGAAACAATGTGACCATTATCACAAGGAGAAACTTAGTTACAACGAATTGGCAGGATATCCTAGCGAAAACTGTACCAAACTGTGACCCTATCCTATGACATCCTATGACTGTATCATACTGTATTTGTACCTGACAAATAATGTATCTTATCATCTTATCTACTTGGAATTTCTCACACACACACACGGAACATGTTACCTGTTCAAGAGGTGGAGGGACCAGGGCTAAAATGTTGAGTGGCACAGACATGCGCTGCAACCTTTTGTGTGTGTTTTTTTGCCTCCGCCCGCTGCCTCAATCTGCAGCTACCAGGCTGTGACTATGACCACAGGAACACTTTGAAATACTGCTAGATTCGAGGTGGTGCCACAAATACTTCTTACATGTTTTCTAGGTCACAGACCAGACCAAACCTGAACTATTTGTAGCAACTGGCAGCTGTGACTTGACCATGGAGCGACCTTCTTCGCCATCAACATCCCTGGACCTTGAGGAAGTGGAGATTTGCCAGAACTTGACACAAATGGAGCATCCGACACCAGACTAGAATTCATGGGAGCTAGAATGGTTCTGGACCTACTGTACAGCTATGTATGGGCCTAGTACATGTGAAACCAGTCTTAGTCTTGGGTCTAGCAACTCATTTTATGACAAACTATTGCATGCCTATGCCGCTGCCTATATCTCATATCAGAAATCAGAAAACTGGTCTATCCTAACCATTGGATTGGAAACACAAAAGGCCAGGCCCAAACAAACAGATGTTTGTCAGGTTTAGTTAGTTTTCTATGGGCATCTATGGGCGGCTATGGCTATGGCTATGGCCTGGCTATGATGTGGTCAACTCACTTGTTGGTTACCTGACCCACCCAGATTTTTCTCACACAATGGGGTGTTGACACATGTATGTGAGGCGAGGAAAGCAACCTCTTTTTGACCGTCAAGAAGGTCACCTGAAGAAGCCGCGCTTTCTAGAGTGGGCAGACATCGTTTCTTCTGCGCTAGACCTGGACTATGATTCGCCTGCAGCCAAGATGAAGCAGCTTGAGCTGTATAGTTCAAGCATTTGATGTGGCCATACAGCCTTCCCAAACTAGACTCAGACCATGGACCATGGAAGCTAATACTTTGAAGCATGGACCAATGGACAATGAAATCCATGAAAAAGCAATGAAATGAAATGACAACATGACACGTTCCTTCAGTTTTAGTCTTTAGCCACATGGGTCAGGTTCGTGGTGGTGGAGGCATGTGCAGGTGCTGGAACAGCCACCTATTGTATGCAGCTTGGCTTTGCTTGGTTTGATTCCCAAAGCCATCCAAAGCCTAAGACCCCAACCTCATTGCCCTTAGCCCTCAGCTAACAAAAACTAAACCGGCATTTGCTCAGTGAACCCCCATGCGCATGACATGTTGATTTGGTGCACAGGCACACATGTTCAGATCAGGCAGTACAGTATGCAGGCGGGAAGCCTGTTCTGGCAACAGTCTGCTGAGGCAAGAGCTGTCCAACCAGATTGGCTTCAAGTGGAAGACAGCTGCATTGTCAGAAAGATGCCCCATGAAGAGGCGATGGCTTCGAGAACACTACAATGGACATGGTGGCTGGCCTGCATTTGCAGTGCTGGAGAGTTCTTGGTTTTGACATTGATGCATGGATGTCACTGTGTCAGGATACAAACATATGACATGCGTGAAATGTGAGGCATTGTTTGGTCACTATCTGTTGGCCTTGAATCATTTCACCCAGCATGTTGCATGCATACCCACCCATACCAGCGCTGCAAACTCTGCACACTAATACTAACTATTTGTTTGAATGGGTTGGATGGCTTTGACTAATGTGATGTAGTGTCGGGTTGTGCTGTAGTCTGTGTAGTTGCGTGTATTTTGCTTGACATCGGACTCTATGTCAAACAGCTTCCTTGCAATTTGTGTTTGACTAAGTCGACCACATCTTCAAGGATATGGTGGATGGGACCGACTCTGGGCCCTGTGTGCTCCATGACAAAATCTGCTCATCAAGTCTCGAGGATCCAAACCTGATGGAAATTAGGCTGCTTTCAGAAGATATTTGTCTGTCTCTGACAGAGTCAAACTTGGTCAGAAGAGTTCGACGTTGCTTGGAACTCTAGGCTCCTCTCTAGCTTTTGAAAAACTCACTGAGGTTCAGGTCCAGGTTTCAGAAACTGAGCAAAAACGAAGTGTCAGGATTCGGCTTGAGTTTAGATTCAGAAAACATATATCATATATCATATAACATTCATATATATCATTATATCATATATTATATCCTTTACAATCTTTGCATTGGGACTAGGACTAGGACTAGACTATGACTAGACACTTGCTCTATGTTTGAACTTCCACTATGACTAGACTATGGACTAGACTATGACTGGCTGTAAGAATCAACATGTTAACACTGATCAGTCGAATCAGTCATTGGCATGTAGA